AAAGTATGTTGTACAAGAGATGAGAGTAACAGATGAGAGTACTATACTGTATTAGGAAGTGAGGGAGCCCTTTGTTACATGTCAGACTTAATCTTGCCAGTCCAGTTTTGGTTACATATGGACCTGAGTACATCACATTTGAGGATTCAATTTAATGAAAATGATAAACATTGTAACATTTTAGTTTGATTTTTTTCATAGTCCTGTAAATACTACTTCATACTGTTTCTTTTTTGTGTTAATTTGCTTTTATGAATATATAGCACTTATCTTGATAAATATACTACAAATGTGATTATTTATTGAGGTTGGCATGTCCCACAAAAGTTTAATAATTGAATGTGAAACAGTTTTAGCAGGAATATCTTTGCTCAAAGAATGAGGTTTTTCAGAACTGAAAAAAAAATACGCATTGTGGGCCAGGTGCAGTGGCTAACGCCTGTAATCTCAGCACTTTGGGAGGCTGAGGGGGGGTATCACTTGAGGTGAGGAGTTTGAGACCAGCCTGGGCAACATGGTGAAACCCCTTCTCTACTAAAAATACAAAAATTAGCCAGGCATGGTGGTGGGCACCTGTAATCCCAGCTACTCAGGAGGCTGAGGCAGGAGAATCGCTTGAACTCGGGAGGCAGAGGTTGCAGTGAGCTGAAATTGCCCCTCTTGCACTATAGCTTGGGTAACAGAGCGAGATTCCATCTTATAAAAACAAAACAAAACAAAAAGTGCACCATAGATTCTTAGGACTTTTTTGTTAAAAAATGTTTTAAAATGGTTCGGATTTAAAAAAAATGCCAACCAATTGTGTAGCAAATATGGGGGCCACTGAGAATATTTAGGAATTTTTGTGTCTACAAAGTATGTGCTGAATTAGCAACATTGAATTTTTTAGCTTTTGGCATTGCTTCTCAATTGTTGTAATCTGCTTCTTGAAAAGAAAATCAACTCTGGGGGACCAGGGATGGTGGCTCATACCTGTAATCCCAGCCCTTTGGGAGGCCGAGGTGGGTGGATCACTTGAGGTCAGGAGTTCAAGATCAGCCTGGCCAACATGGTGAAACCCCATTTTTACTAAAAATAGAAAAATTAACTGGGCGCAGTAGTGGATGCCTATAATCCCAGCCACTTGGGAGGCCGAGGCAGGAGAATCACTTGAATCTGGGAGGCAGAGGTTGTGGTGAGCCAAGATTGTGCCATTGCACTCCAGCCTGGGCGATAGACTCCATCTCAAAAAAAACAAAACAAAACCGAGAAAAAAAAAAAAAAACATCAGAATATAGATTGATATATGTGTTTCTTTGAGAAAATTTTCTCATATCCCAGGTGATTTTGGCTATCGGACAAGAGGTAACTTCAGGTCAGTAAGTTGTTAGAATTCAGTGACAACTACAATGGTTTTCCCTTACATGCCGCTTTACCTTCTGCAATTTCAGTTACCCGCAGTCAACTACAGTCCAAAAATATTAAATGGAAAATTCCAGAAATAATTCATAAGTTTGAAATTGCATGCTGTTCTGAGTAGAGTGATGAAATCTTGTGCCATCTTGCACCATCCAGAGCAAGATGTGAATTATCCCTTTGTTTAGCATATCCATATATGATACCCGCCCATTAGTCACTTAGTAGTAGCTGTTTCAGTTATTAGAGCAACAATACATGGTATATATAGAGTTCGACACTATCTGTGGTTTCAGGTGTATTCTGAGGGATCTGGAATGTATTCACCCCCTAACAAGGGGAGACCACTGTATAGCAAGAAGAGTTCACATTTGTCTAATGTTATGTTAGAATGTGGCTGTTGTTAGATATTAGGAGTACCTTCTGTGGTAGAGTGTCTACTACATTATTGAATCCTGTGGTAGTTGGGGATCAGAAATGAAGGCCCTTTGGGGGTGTGTGTGTGTGTGTGGTGGTAGTGGTGATGTTTTTTAAATGCCCATATAGCATGCATGCATGCATTCATTTACTTATCTTTTCACTGAACTGGGGTGATTAATAATCATACAGCATTTAAGATGATTTTTTTTTTTTTTTTTGAGATGGAGTCTCGCTCTGTCACCAAGCTGGAGTGCAGTGGTGGCGCAATCTCAGCTCACTGCAACCTTTGCCTCCTTTAGGTCTAAGGGATTCCTGTTGCTATGTTTCTGTTTCTTGAAAACTACAATGGTCATCCAAGTCACAATACTCTACCTTGGGAAAATTCAACTGGGATTTATTATGCTTTTAAAAAAAATATAATACAAACATTGTGGGGAGATTTGATTTCAGTTATTTCCTAAGCTTTTCTTGATAGTTCTACTTTACTCAGCCACCCAAGTGAATTTTTTCTTTCCAGTTGTTTTGAAACTAGAAGCTTACTGATGTTAAGACATGGATTATCTGGGAATAGTTTTTGGTTGTCAGTCCTTTGCTATAAAGCAGAGGTGGCACATTCAAAAGCCAACACGTCTCATATTGCATATAAGCTAGGAATGTTTAGGCTGTGGGGGATTGTAGAACATTAATTCGACATTCTTTTGTGCCTGTACATGAAATTAGACCCCCCCCCTCCTCCAGACATTATAGACCTGGATTCTTTTTTAAAATGTAAAACTTACTGATTTCAGAATGTTGTTTTCCCTATACTCTTTACTTCTCTACCAGCTACTCCTTTTAAAACTGTGGTGACCAAAGAACACAGTAGCTTCAAGTTGGGTTTAGTTTGCTGACTGACAGTTGGGTAATAATGATGTGTGGAGGGAATCAGCTTGTCTTTGATTGAGATGATATATTAAAAGTGCGTGTAATCTACCCTCCCGCCCCCAGATTGTTCTACTCTAACCTCAGATTGTTCTCGATTATTTTCAATAAATTTTGAAAATAATCTGTGGGGGAGAGGAGAAGGAAGAAAAGCTGAGCTGCAACTCCTGTTGCAGAGGTTGTGTCGTGTGCTTGAAAAACATGTAGGAATTGGTGAAAATTAGTCATTTTAGTCTGTGCATTGACTCTTG